GAAGAGCTAGAAGAAGCCCAGAAAGGTCTAGGCAACGACAGAATTAGCTGGGGTCCAGAGGACATTGAAGATGTGTCACTTAAAAGAGAGAGAAGAATGGCCATTCGCTTTTCAAGAACAATTTATGAAAAATGAATATTGTATTAGTCAGGGTTTTCTAGAGTCACAGAACTTAGGAAATGAATTTCCCTCTCCTTCTTTGAGATAGAGAAAATATAGATAAAGGGAATTTATTAGAATAACTCACAGGCTACAGTCCAACTAATCCAACAATGGCCAGCTGTGACTGGAAAGTCCAAGATCTTATAGTTGGTCAGTCCCACCACAGTCTGGGTGTCTCCGCTGGTCTTCTGTATGTGTTGGAGTCCCAAAGAATTAGGCTCCAATGCCAGTGAAGGGATGAATGTGCTGGCAAGATGAGGACAAGAAGGCTTATATAGGCTTCCAGAAGAAGGTGTGGCCCAGATGAAAGTTATGCCTTCCCACCTCAAGATATGGGATTAAGGGCGTGTGCCATTCCTCTTCAAGAAACAGATCAAAAGCCTGTGTCATCCAGCCTCAAGATAAGGATCAAAGGCATGTTATCTTCTTCCTGTCTGAAGATCTACATCCCAGGTGTGCCCTCTGTTTCTGGATGGTACTTCATTCTAGATACTGTCAAGTTGACAACCAAGAATAGCTGTCACACCTACCTCTTGTCAACTTGACACACAATTATTTCTCCTTATTTCATGATTAATTTTCAAATGAAAACAATAACCCAGTCATAATAATGCCTAAACATAACCGTCCCACATACAATTGTAAATGCATTGTGTATTTAACCAGGTTATAATTATGCCTAACATGATATAACTATCCCTCATACAAGCACAAACACATTACAAATTTAGAATAGGCGATAATGTCCATTGGGGGACATCCTTTTAACTTTAAGTATCTCAAACTTAATTATGATAGACATTGATATTCTCTAAATTGATGTTAGAGAAATTGAAAGAAAATACAAATACCTTTACAAATGCAATCTTCACAAAATATAATCGGAACACCCATGCAAATCATACTCTTCATTCTGCAACTGGTCACGTGACCTTAGATGGGATTTATAGCTACCTCCTTCTCCCACCCTTTCTGTACTTTTGTCACCCCCTGTAATCACCTCAGCAGGTCTTGGCTGTTTTCCTGGAGGAATGACCCATATCCTGACATGTCTGTGCCCTTTCTCACCCTTCTTGATTATGCTGTTTTAATTTCCCATTAACTTTAATCACGGGACATGATAGCACCAGGATATGTCCTAAAGGATCTCCTGCATTCCAGACATAATCCTCCTCACCTCCATGGCAGAGAGGCAGTCCAATTTCCATGGTGATCTGGATCTAGCACCCCTCCTAAAACTGTTATTCCTTTCTTAGCCTGTTGATTTAAGGACATTAGAAGTCCAAAGTGACCGGGGGAAATCTGAGCTTCCAGTTCAATGGAATGTTTATTGTGGATTCTGGCAGGAGCACTCTCTATCCTGGAACTGAAATTTTTAGGCCAGCAGAATTTAGGGTTGTGTAAACAGGAAGCAAAAAACTTTCTTAATGGATTACTTGGGAGGGATGATAGTGGATGGAACTTTCCCTTTTTCCAATCCTTGATTCTTGGACCCATGGGTCCTGACTACGGGGGGAATAGTACTATATACTGGACATTGATTCAAAGCATTTATTGCCTTCTGGAGAACCCTGACATAGCCCTCCATGCTGATGTCACCCAATTGGCACTGTAATTGTGTCCTCAAAAGGCTATTCCATCTTTCAGTCAGGCCACCTGCTCCAGGACAGTGGGGAACAAGATAAGAGCAGTGGATTCAATGATCATGGTTCTATCACACTTTTTTTGCTGAGAAGTGAGTTCCTTGGTCAGAAGCAATACTGTGTGGAATACCATGTCGGTGGATAAAGCACACTGTAAGTCCACAGATGGTGGTTTTGACAGAAGTATTACAAGCAGGAAAGGTACATCCATAAGCGGATCAAGTATCTACCCCAGTAAGGAAAAAGAGTTGTCTTTTCCACGGAGTGTGTTGTCCAATGTACTCAGCCTGCCATCAGGTTGCAGGCTAGTCACCCTGGAGGATGGTGTCCTAGCTGGGGCTCGGTGTTGGTCTCGGCTATTGGCAAATCTTATGCTTAGCACAGCTAAGGTCAACCTTGGTGAGTGCAAGTCAGTGATACTGAACCCATGCATAACCCCCATCTCTGCCACCTGGCCACTTTGTTCATGTGCCCATTGGGCAATGGCAGGAATGGCTGGGGAGCGAGGCTGACTGGCCATAGAATGGGTCGTCCTATCTACTTGATTACTGAAGCCCTCCTCTGCCGAAGACTCCTAATGATGAGCATTTACACGGGACACAAGCATCTTCACATCCGTTGCCCATTTGGCAAGATCTATCCACATACTTCTTCCCCAGATGCTTTTCTCATCAATTTTCCAATTGTGTTCTTTCCGAGTCCCTGACCATTCAGTCAGTCCGTTGGCTACAGCCCATGAATCAGTGAACAACTGCACATCTGGCCATCTCTCCTTACAAACAAACTATATGACCATGTGTCTGCCTGGAATTCTGCCCACTTTGAAGATTTCCCTTTGCCAGTATCTTCCAGGGTTGTCCCTGAAAGGGGTTGTAATGCTGCAGCTGTCCACTGCTGGATGGTACCTGTGTAACGTGTAGAACCATCAGTAAAGCCAGCCCTAGTTTGCTCTTTTCAGTCAATAGATCACAGGGAACACCCCATGAGGCTCTAGGTGCATGCTTCGCAGCAGACAGCATTGTAGCAGGAGTGGAAACCAGAGGCACTTGGGCAGCTTCTTTATTGCTTGGGCCTTCAGGACCCGCTTAGGCCTGATCACATATGTATCACTTCCATTGGACAATAGACAGCGGGTGTGGTTGTTTTTATGACTGGGTGAGCCCAGTAACACCCAGCTCGTGATAGGCAATTCAGGTCGCACGGCAACTTGGTTGGCCCATTGTCAAATGTTTGTTTTTACTTAGGCCCAATAGCAGGTCAGGAGCTATCCTTCAAAATGGAGAATAGCTGTCTGCAGATGATGGTAGAGCCTTGCTCCCAAATCCCAGTGATCTCTTCTGTGATTCACCTATGGACCAAATTCCCAGAAGCACCTCGTCTGTCACGTTTGTAATAAAAGTCAGTATGAGTGATGTGAACAGTTCAACTGGAGTGGAGGACCCAAGAACCATGGCAGTGCTGGCAAAAAGGCACAATTCCCACAGCATCAGAGCCGTCCTGCAGGAACTTCCGTGTGTAGTGATGGCAAATAAAACAAACAAACAAACAAACAAACGGAGGCAGGAAGAAAAAGGAATACCCATATAGAGAGCAAGTATTCTCAAAATACATTTTATCCAGTAAAGGAGCTTGCTGCCTCCCGGACGATCCCAGGGCAGATATGGTGGGAGGAGAGAAGTGATTCACATAGTTGTCCTTTGACTTCCCCCTTCACCCCTCCCTCGGCAAATATGCCTCTAATTGCGCTTCTGCAACACACACTAAGTAAAGATGTTAATAAATGTAAATTTTAAAAAAAATCCCTCCTTAAACATAAAATGCGAAATTGAACAGAAAAACAACCTCAAAGTTTACCAGGAAAGCGAGCGACTCTGATTCGCACTTCTGTCTGGGGAATGCGGGTAGGAATACAAGAACCCTCATTGAACTGCGGACTGCGGTAGCAATTTACCGAAGATAGCAATGGTTCAATTTAGGACGATAACCTTGTCAGTACCTGTTATGTAAAACAGACGCGCCACCTTATGGAGAAACCTGGAGTGATCAGTGTTGGGCGGTCCCATAAGGCAGGCGTGGCGCTAGAGTTGACTTCCGTCCCTGCCGATGCCCGAGACACTTCTAGTCCGGTTGGACGATCAGAACTACGGTCTTTTAGGATTCGGGCAGAGTGCTGCTTGATACCTACGGGCCACAGCTGGTGCAAGATACGGCCCTGGTAACTGTGGTCGGACCAGAGATGGCCGTATCATCGGTTGCGAGGCGCTGAGGGCATCGCTAAAGATGTACAGTGGACCGCCTTTGGTGGTGGGGTTCTCTCACTGCAGCGAGACATTTTTTTTTTTTTTTTTTTTTTACCGTGGATAAGAAATGTGTATCTGTAAAGGGTTGTCGTTTAAAGCGCAGGCGTCAATTGGAGGTCAGAAGAAGGCTTTGTATCCAACTACAGATTGTCCCCCTACTCTCCTCCTCCTGTTTACCCAGGAGATCTCCTCTTTTTCTGCTTCCCAGGGAAATCTTTATGTCCCTCTTAGGGTCTTCTCTGGAGCTGTGAACTGTAGCCTGGCTATCCTTTGCTTTACACGTAATATCTACTTCCAGGAGAGTAGGTTTTTAACACCAGAGAAGGGATGCTTCAGGAACAAGACAGAGGAACCTTCTAAAGAGAGTGAGGGCAAATAGGCAAAAGGCAAAAACTTCCTTCTTCCATGGTTTTTTTTTGTGTGGGCTGCCACCAGAACCTGAGGCCCCGATTTAGGGTGGGTCTTCTCATCTCTTGTGATCCAATCAAGAAAATTCCTCAAAGGTGGACCTGGCTGCTGGGTTTTACTGCCTGAATGGTACTTCCATCATGGAGTCAGTTGTGCTAAGGTCTGGGGGCCCTCTTGGTGTTTCATGTTGAAGAAACCCCACATACAAAGACATGGTGTCTGTCCTGTGAGAAATCTGCCTAGTGAGGTGAACCGAGTCACAGCCCCTCCCTTTCCCTTTAGCTCCTTTTGGGGATGTTACCAAGAGAAAGGTTGCAGAGTGTTTGACATCCCAATGAGTTTAAGTACCGAGTCTATTCAGTAGTGAGGAGCAGAAGTTGGGTTGTCGCAATAGTGGTAATGTTTTCTTCTCTCCACTGTGTTTTCTTGCCAGTCACTCCTGAAGCCATCGGCTTCCTGTCTGCGGTAGGGGTCTTTGTTGTCCTACTGGCTGTCCTCGTGCTCTTCATCAACAAGAAGCTGTGCTTTGAGACCATAAGAGGCCACCCACACCTGGAACAAAGAGGCAAGAGAAATCAGTCTTTGAGAGACAAGACTGGGGGCCACCCAGGACTGGGTAAGCACCATGTTTTATGTTCTCCTGAGCCTGGCAACCTGACGCTGCCATTTGAAGAGCTAAAAAAGCGGCTCTCTTTCCAAGGTGGCCCCATAAGAATTCACAGCTGAACTGGCCTGCCATAGCTGTGGTAGATATGATAAACGGCACCACCAAAGGACGCCTTAGCTCCTCCCGGTGTCCGTAGAGCTGATGGGGAGGACCTCCATTCGCTCTGCTCTTTAGATCCTTAGCTTGAAGAACGCCCCCCCCCCCACCACCACAGTAATCCTGAAGGAGAAAAAGTGTGTGTTGATGGGTAGAAATTTGAAAGTGTTTTGCCTTCATGATGGAACAATACTGATTTGTTGCTGCATTAGCTGCTTTTTTTTTTTTTTTTTAGATATTCAGTGTCTGAGGGCCATTCCCATCTTGGAACACAGTAGTCCCCTTTCCAGAGAGAAAGTTTCAGTTTCCATAACTAACTCTATTTGATGAAGGGGAAGTCACCCGAAGAAATAACTTGGTTCTCTTGAAGGACATAGTTTTTCAGTTGCTTAAGTATAGAATTTGGTCTTGGAGACACCATCACAGGGTCCAGGTTGCCACCCAGGGAGATTAGATGTGGAAACACTCCAGCTCTTGGTAGCCAGATTCTCACCCTCCTCTCACACGCCCCTCAGGTTATGTGTTGGAACTGGTCAAGGAGCAGTTTGGGGTAGGTCTAAGGCTGTGAGAACATACCCTTCAGTTCCAGGGGAGCTGTGGACCAAACAGAACATTTGGCTCATCGATAGGGCAGCTTTTGTAGCCCAAGTTCGTTTAGCTTTATTGGTAGTAGGGACATACTTTAGATGTTCAAGCAGGCCAATTATCTATTGTGTCATGACAGACCACTCAAAACTTAATAGCATATATATTATCTAAGCTTTTTTGTAGTTTTGGAGACATAGGAGTGGCTTAGTTGGGTGTTCCAGATTAGGGTCTCTTAAGAGGCTGCAGGTAAGTAAGTCAGTGGGCACAAACTCTTGCAGAGCGGCTGGAGGCTCAGCTGCAGTTGTGTGGATGCCTCCAGGGCTCCTTGAATTTTCACGGCATAGCAACTGGTTTCTGAGCTCAAGACCCACAGGGAGTAAGGAGGAGCCACAGTTCCCTTTTACCACTGCATCTACAAAGTCAAACTTTGTTTCTTCTGTCCCCTTCTGTTTTTCACTGACTCTAGTCTGTGCCCAGGGGACTGGGAATGAGGCTTTACTCTTGGAGGGACAGAGTATCAAAGAGGGAGCGAGCATGTTTTAGAGTCACTGTGGAGTCCATCACCGGCAAGGGTGTAGCAGCTGGCAGATGATCCATGCTGCTGCTGGTGTCTTGCCCTTTTGAACTCCATTCAAAGCATCTGACTCATCTTTAGAACATAGAACAGATTAGTTTATGGAGTTTGTTGTATACAATCAGGGACTTGTGGATCCTTTAGCCACTACTATCCCAGCTGGGTCTAGGTTAAGGGTGGTATTGCTCGGCCATAGTCTGATAAGGAGGTGGACTTCAGAATGATTCTTCTCCCTTGGCTCTGACTGCCACTCTGATGTGACCTTGGTGGATGAGGGAACCATTCTGACCTCCGGTCTCTCTTATCTGCATGTTGGGATTATTGGATCCCAGCAAGGTTGTCTTAGAATAAATGATTTATTTTATAAAGGTTCTGGTGTAGCATCTACCTTGAAGGTCCTTGTGGAACTTTAACTATAGTTGTTGAGCAAACAAGGAAGCGTTCTGATGCTGATGCCATATGCCAATACATTATATTCTTTACTTAAGCTGGGAGGTTGAGGCTGGCGAGGTGTTTGCCTTCGCAAACAATAACAACTTGGACTAAGGTTGGAGCTATTTGAAACACACCCTTTTCCTCTTGTTTTACTCGCTTAATTTGAGTGTTTTAGGGACAATTCTAAATTATACCTGCAAAAGCATTGAGATTTTAAGACCACATTGGAACACTAATGAGAAGGCACACAGAGTTCTAGCCTCAGACTCAGGGCAGAATCACCAGGAGTAGCTTTAGAAGGGGCTGAATCAGGAGCTTCTTCAGATGACCCTGAGAAGTCAACACCTTCCTTTGACATCACTTCTCTGAAAGGGTTCATTGTCATGGATCAAAAGCCATGGAAAACACACTTTTTTCAACATTTTACCTAACCTTTGATATTTTCTTTGTCATCTCAAATGCACTAATCTCTCTATGAAGTCGGGATGTTCCTCACATATTTTGACAAGCATTAAGGAAGGAAGGCAGCTCTGTGTGGTGGAGAGAAGCCCCGGGCAGACCCTTGGAGCTTGCTTTGCTGCTAATTGGTCACACAGTATTTTGGGAATCCACTTCACCTCTCTGGGCCTTAAGTCCTCATTTGCAAATTGATAAGTCTGGACTAGTTTCTCCCAGCTCTCTTTCTATGATCCTATTTGGCTCATAGGGTTGCCATAGCAACTTCTGGGGCTCTGTGAATGGAAGAGACCTAATAAGAAAGATTAAACATCATCTAGGCCATCCTACTCTTAGATGGTACTGTATGAAACCGAAAATTTTAAGGACTAAAAAGATGGCTTTAGCACCCACAACTAATTAACCATTCTAATCCATGCAAGCGATTGAAACATGAGAAAAGTCTCTTAACTCATCTGGTGCTGTCAGAGATGAAGGAGCAGTGGTTTGTTTTCTGTAGCTGCTGTGCAAAACAATTTGCCCGACAAACACTGCATCTTCCTCTAGGCTATGTGTTTTTCCATAGTCAGAGGTCTACTCGTATCACGGTGCCTGGAATTAGAAAGGAGAAGACACAGTGAGACGGTATCTTCCTAGTAACACAGGCAGGAGCAGTGACAGCTGGCAGCTGACATTTATTTAGCACTCGCTATTGCTGTGACCAGACCCAGTATTCCACACATCTTATTTGCTTGCTTTATTTAAGGTGCTGTGTGAATCCCTGGGAGGGATTATTTTGGGGAACTATCACTTGGAACAAAGAAGGCATTCTTCAACTTGGAGATGAGAAACTGATTGAAAATATAATCCCATAGTGAGAGGAGAAAGAGAGAGAGGGGGGGGGGGAGAGAGAATATAAATCAATGGATTTTATTTTGTTTCTTCTGAAGCATTGTTATTTGAAACAGGGTTTCATGTAGCCCATACTGACATTAGACTTGTGGTATAACTGAGAATTATCTTTAATTTTTTATTATTTAATCATGTTTTGTATGCGTTTATAAATACCAAAGATTTTTCTTGCACGTGCCCATGATTACCAACATAGGTGGAGATCAGAGAGCACCTTGTAGGATGGTTCTGGCCTTTTGACGTGTGAGTTTTGTGGCTCCAACTTGGATCATCAGCCTTGGCAACAAGTACCTTTCTCTGATGTGAGCCATTCCTCTGGGCTCCCAAGAATGACTTACACTTCTGATCCTCACCAACCGATCTACAGCCCCAGCCCCATTGCCTTACAGTTCCTTAAGGGCTCTACACTTTCCTTGTCGGTTGTGCTGTCCCTGCAGCCTGACTGACCACCAAGAGGTGATGGGGGAGAGTCTTCTGTTTTGTGTTAATTTCATGACTGCCTTGGCCCTTTAATAGGACATAAAATTAGGTAGGCAGAGTAAACAGAACAAAATTCTGGGAGAAAGAAGCTGAGTCAAGGAGTCGCCATGGTTCTCCCACTCCAGACAGATGCAGGTTAAGATCTTTCCTGATAAGCGTACCTCGTGGTGCTACATAGATTATTAGAAATGGGTTAAGAGACTAAAACTAATGGGCCAGGCAGTGTTTAAAAGAATACAGTTTCCATGTAATTATTTCGGGTAAAGCTAGCCGTGCGTGCGGCCGGGTGCCGGGGACGCAGCCCACTGCTCTTATTTCAACATGGGGTGGGGTCCCCTAAATAAGAATGAAAGGAGAAAGTTTTTATATTTAAGCAAGCCGACACATAGCTGGTACTCAGTGGACAGGCTATGGCAGCTGGTACTCTGAAGTGAAGTTGTTGAAAGGTTTTCTCTCAACCTGGTGGTGGTGGCACACACCTTTAATCCCAGCAGTCAGGAGGCAGAGGCAGGCAGATATCTGTGAGTTCGAGGCCAGCCTGGTCTTTCCAGGATAAGCTCCAAAGCTACATAGAAACCTTGTCTCAAAAAAAAAAAAAAACAAAACAACTCTTTGCAGTTTCTAAGACTCTGAATGGTCCCTTCTGAGCCCACTTCCACCTCCTCATCCTTATCTGCAACTGTGTCTAGCAGAGCAACCCTCCGTATCCCCGCAATGCACGTCTATGCATTTAGGTTATAATATGTTCAAGTAGATATTTCCAATGATGTAGCTCGATGAATAAATCTATTTATCATCTATTTTTACCAGCAAAGAAGCTGTGACTTACTTAGACGAATGCTTCTCCTAGGCCAGTGCTCAACCTTCCTAATGTTGTGACCCTTTAATACTGTTTGTTCCTCATGTTGTGGCGATCCCCAACCATAAAATTATTTCATTGCTGCTTCATAACTGTAATTTTGCTACTGTTATGAATCGTAGTGTGGATATCTGATATGCAACCCCCAGGTTCAGAACTGCTACCCTAGGGTATTCTTAATTTCTGTTTTCCTACTTGTCATCTACCTAATTCAACCCCCTCCATCATGCTTTTCCATTAAGATAGGTGTGATAGAAATTGGACAGGTGGGTTTGGGGGTGCATTCCTTTTATGCAGCTGCTATTGCAGATTGCTGCATACTCGGTGTCTTAGTGGAAGTTCTTTCTGGTGCAATGCGATTCCTCACTATGCTTCTTCAGTGCTTGACAAACATTCCCAGGTGATGCCATCCTCTTCCTATAGCCTGAATGGTAGTCCTCTGAAAGATATGGCTACACCCATAGCCCTGGAACTTGGGCATTGTTGCTTTATTTGAAATAAAATGGTGTGACTATCTAATGGTATAAATAATGATCTGAGATGAGACAAGCTTCCTGGATTATCATAGTG